GCAGGCGTTACACTCGGGGCCCGGGAAAATTGGATCCCCTACTATTCCCGGGCCCAAATGGGGAACTGGAAAATTAAAGAAAAAAGCGCATATTTTTTAGTATTTTCTCTAATGTCCACTAAGCATGTATATTATACAAACATTCAAGCATGTTTATTTAAATAACCTTTCATTCTCTCGTCTCATGCTCACAATCGCGTCCTGTCCATTTGGAGGGCTTATGTCTCACATTCAACTGTTTACTCTTCTTCCTTCCTCTACACGTCCTTGTAAATGATAGTCAATCTTCTACGTCAGGTGCCTTATCTCTCGTAACAGACTCAAAATGATAATCAGTCATACAGAACAGTTGCTGGAATCTATGCGTGGAACAAGCGAACGCGCCAGAATGCTAACAGTAGGTTCTGGGGCAATCAAAAAACAAATCTCGTGGATTTACTCTCCGGGACTCAATCTCTCCGCATTAGCCTCGCCGAGAGAAAGTTTATCTTCACGATTGTGATTTCAAAACATGATAGTTCATTAAAATTTCAATGGCAACAACAACATTTAGGTTTTACAACATTGAAACACATGTGCCCGAAAAAACATTCATGACACTATCAAATAGGAAATAAAGCAATGTGACAGTGCCCTACGAGAATGAAGAATGTCCGCCTAGGAGTACTACAAAGTGATGAAGACACACACTTGAGCAAAAAGACAGATCTCTATCATAAAATATAGATGTGAACCTAATTTCGATCTTACCTGGAAAAATGAAACCACGATGCCAAAAGTTCTGTCTCAAGCTTAGGTTAAGCCCAACAGATGGCATGTGCTAGACAGGATCTCATTTACCAGACCTAGCGTTCACCACTTTATAACTTTTATCAAGCTCCTCCTACATTACGCCTAAAATCCTTTTCATTCACGGGTATCACAGCTCCTCCCCTGTGGGTAAGTTTATTCGCTGTCAGTCAGGGCTGTACAACACTTATTTAAATTCCCACGCTAGGATCTCCTGGTCAATTCATCTGACAGAGCAAATAGGACAAGTCACACCTCCGGCCTACTTCACCTGCCTTCACAATAAAATCAGACGGTGTCAATCCTTCTGTTAACACTTTCTGCTCACCATGTCAATAGTGACCGTCGGACCTGCCGTCGAGTTAGGTAACCTCAGGGGGAATTAAACACAATTAGCCGGAGTTAGCTGCTCCTAAAAGTCTGGCTAGGAGATAAAATTTCTGACACCACAACAGATGGTGTGCAAATCTCCAGTCAGTAAGTCTGCTTGGTCAGTCTTATCTCTGTACCTTAACACTTAACGTCTGGGAAAAAGTTTTAGTGTGTGATATCGCCAACATCCCAGGAGAATTAAATGCTTGTTCATTTCGCCTACTTAAAATAAAGAATGTATCCAAATCCCTATTTTCCTGTATACTTTCAAAATACAAAGAAATAAAAGTAGGTTGAGGAAAGACATTCTGGAGTCACCGAGCGTATTGTCACATTCCCATGTGCTGGACTTCCTGGGACTTTACTTGATACCAATTTGAGACTGGACCGACCTGGGAGCCGAGGTAATTTTTACCCAATCCAACTTGGTGCGGTTTTGAACCCATGACCTTCAGGCCCGAAGCGAAGGTGTAGACGGCGGTTCCGTAATGTGGAGGTTAGGATGTGTCTTTTTTCCCCCGGGAGACCAAATCTACATCTCTATCGGGAATTGAACCAACATCTCATGTATGAGAGTCCGGTGTCCTATCACTGGGCCAGCAGAGACCTGATTTGAAGCTGGTGTTCATGCGAGACAGCGATTATCCACACACGCTGAAAGTCGTGGGTTCGGATCCTGACTCGGGCCAGATTTAAAAAAAAAATGACTTTGGCTCCCAGGTCGACCCGGCCTTGAGTGGGTGCCAGGTACAGTCCCGGGAAGTAAAGGTGGCCGGTTTGATGCTGACCACATCACCTCTAAGTGCCGTTTGGTTTGTAAAATAAAGGTCTAGCCCTATATACCCAATCCGTCTCAAGGTGTGGAAAAGGATCCACTGTGACACAAGTTGATAATGATGGGGATTTTAATTCTTCTTCTTCGACTCATCTGATAGCAGATTTATATCAGAAGGTCGGTATCCTTGCTGAAAGCTATCGTGCAGTCTGAATCTCTTATTGTAGATTTAGAAAACAGCTCTGTTTTCACTGAGGTTAGAACAGGCCAGATTGCTTTTCTATTTACAGCAGACACTGATATTGTCAGAGTTTATGCTCAGCGTTTTCAGGTCAATTTGCCGAGACACCTCTCGTTGCTTCCTACACCCAGGGACACATCTCGTTGTTTCCTACAAATAGGTACACATCACGTTGTTTCCTACACGCACGGACACCTCTCGTTGTTTCCTACACATAGGTACACCTTTCGTTGTTTCCTACACCCAGGGACACATCTCGTTGTTTCCTACACCCAGGGACACATCTCGTTGTTTCCTATTCCCAGGGACACATCTCGTTGTTTCCTATACCCTAGGACACATCTCGTTGTTTTCTGCACCCAGGAATACATCTCTTTGTTTCCTCAGGGACACATCTCGTTGTTTCCTACACCCAGGAATACATCTCTTTGTTCCCTCAGGGACACCTCTCGTTGTTTCGTACACCCAGGGACACATCTCGTTGTTTCCTATACACAGGGACACATCTCGTTGTTTCCTACACTAAGGGACACATCACGTTGTTGCCTACACCAAGGGGCACATCTCGTTGTTTCCTGCACCCAGGAATACAACTCTTTGTTCCCTACACCCAGGGACACATCTCGTTGTTGCCTACACCAAGGGACACATCTTGTTGTTTCCTACACCCAGGAATACATCTCTTTGTTCCGTACACCCAGGGACACATCTCGTTGTTTCCTACACCCAGGGACACATCTCGTTGTTGCCCACACTAAGGGACACATCTCGTTGTTTCCTACACCCATGAATACATCTCTTTGTTCCCTACACCCAGGGACACATCTCGTTGTTTCTAAAACCCAGGGACACATCCTTGGCCGAAAAACATGTGTTGGTGAAGTCTGTTGTGTTCTGTCCTTAGTCTCAATATGACACATTGTCCCTCGCTAGAAACGCGATGAAGCGAGACTTGGGGAGAAGATTTGATGTGGGTGTCGAGCCACACTGAGGGGTTACTAGTTTTTATTGATACCGGAGTCTGTTTGTGGGCTGATTACGATGATGATTGACACATGTGGTTTACATCTGTTGCAGATCCACCCTCTCGGCTTGTGCAACAAGAACGACTACGATGACCTATACAGCTTTGGATGGGTGGGAGTGGTTAAACTGGAGCGGCCTGAGTTTCTCCAGTCATGCATGTCTGTCTTTGGGAAGGTGAGTGTCCTACACATACCATGCATTCTTTCTCTCTCTCTCTCTCTCTCTCTCTCTCTCTCTCTCTCTCTCTCTCTCTCTCTCTCTCTCTCTCTCTCTCTCTCCCTCTCACACACACACACACACAAGCACACATTATATATATATACTTAGGTGTTGCGAGTCAGGCTCGTAATTCCAACGTGCCGCGATCGAAACCCACTGCTGGCTGCGTGGATTTGTATCAAGGAATGAGGCGTCGCAGGTAGAACCGGCATAAAATGGGTACCAGTATGTATGTCCTGGGGAAGTAAAGACGGCCGGCGTAATGCTGACCACATAACTCACCTAGTGCGATTGGTCTGTAAAAATATGGGCGAGAAAAGGGATTCAGTCAGACACACACACGTACACACACATACACAGAAATATACGTTCTGGAGTTACTGAATACATACACACACACACACACACACACACACACACACAGAAGTATACGTTCTGGAGTTACTGAACACACACACACAAAAGTATACGTTCTGGAGTTACTGAACACACACACACAGAAGTATACGTTCTGGAGTTACTGAATACACACACACACACACTCAGAAGTATACGTTCTGGAGTTACTGATTTAAGAATCGACCACATATGGGGATACCCATAAATGCTCCGTATCTTACTGCAAATGTCTTAGAAGATGGAGATGCTAACTGTTCCTTGCTCACACATTCTTACATTACACATGTTATTTCACCTAACCTCTTGTCTTCGATCAGCATTCGTTCATAAATGGTCTTCAAATGGTGGCCAGTACAAGTATTCCAGTAGCTATCACTTTTATAGTCAGAAAATCCGCTCTTTCTTTCCCTCGCACTCCTGCATATCTCTGACAGCTTATACACGCGAGCTCCTGTAATGTCGACCTGATGTTTGGTACAGTCAAGTCTACTTAAGTCGAACTCGGATACGTCAAATTTCGGTCAAGTCGACATGACCAGCTTAGGCCCGGCAATTTTCTCTATTGTGTGTGCTGTCTGGATAAGTAGCTATCCTGATAAGAGGAAGCATTTTCTTAGGTCCCTGCGACTTCTACTTCTCCAGATTCGACTGTATTCATTTATGCTAAATTTATATATTTTGAACCTACCATGCTGAAGTGTTGTGTATAAAGGCTCTTTAGATGCAGTGGGGCATGTTGGGTATTTGCTGTTAGCGTCTCGTCTGAGTCCATTCGGAACTCATTGAGTGCTGTGGTCAGCATCTCACCGTCGCCTTAACACCCCCCCCCCCCCCACCAAAGTGAACTGTTTAGTGCTTGGTCGGTTAATGAACCCTGGCGAGTTCAGCACAGCCCAACCCTATTGCTGATTGGGACTCTCCGTGTGGGCTATGGGGTCCCATTGTTGGGGGGGGGGGCAATATACCCACTACTTCTCCAACAAGCACGTCGTAGGAGTGGGCTAATTAGGCCATTCTTCTAAGTTGGAGAGCGTCTGCTTGTGAGGCAAGGAACTAACATCCTGCATGCAAAAATGCCAGCTCTTTACAACGGATGTACACGCAACACTCAGGTTCTGTAACAAACCTCAAGTCCAGAGGTGGACGAACAGACAAAATTTTCAGTTGGAGTTTTCAGCCAGTGAACGAGAAGATACAAACACAATATATTCAACCAATAGTTTCATTCTTTGGCTGGCTCGACAACCAGCTGCACACACATGTTGTGATTGTAACCGACTCACAGTGCATCTTGAGAAGGGCAAAGACAAGTATGCTTCGTGCAGAGTAGCAAGCATCGCTTCAGACATCCCAGGTAGTTTGCGTCGTTTAGATGTTTTTTCCAAGGCATGCCAATGTGTTGGAAAATGGATGCGCAGATAGACTGGCTGGTTCTGCTCCACTTGGTGGTAAACATATGCATGATACGCTTGTTATAAGGGCCCTTTGGAAGCGAATCAACTGCGGAGAGGCACACACAATACATCACCACCTGACTGAAGAGAATGAGGCAGCCAAAAATAACCCGGAGATCTGACCGACGTTCAACATTCAGAGAACGGGCGAGACGGATGTACAATCAGAAAATGGTACCATCAAATGTAGAGAACTCTTCGCTTGCTGCTGGGGATGGATACGGAACGCTTATGTCCACAGTGCTATAATGTCGACTCTTAACTCATAACTTTTCCGTTTTCACTGTCTTTTTTCACAGGTGTTTTTCTTTCTTTCTTTCTTTCTTTCTTTCTTTCTTTCTTTCTTTCTTTCTTTCTTTCTTTCTTTCTTTCTTTCTTTCTTTCTTTCTTTCTTTCTTTCTTTCTTTCTTTCTTTCTTTCTTTCTTTCTTTCTTTCTTTCTGTCTTTCTTTCTTTCTTTCTTTCTTTTTTTCTTAATTTCTTACTTTATTTCTTTCTTTTTAGCGTTATGTCTTTCTTTCTTTCTCAGATTTTCTTGCCAAGTTATGGATTCTCAAATTCAAATGACGCCTGATAAAATATTTCGTCTTTCCTCCCTCGTTTCGGACATCCATGCTTTTGTCCGTCTCTGTTTTAACGGGACAGTAAGTTAACCATGGTCTTCGACAGAAGCGGTCGGGGTGAGTGGAGCCCAGCACCGGTTAGTCATGCCAGGAATGCCTCCGAGCACTGTCCGTCTGCGGCTGGAAATCCACGAACATGTTGTCCCGTCCTTATTTCACCGTTAGAGGGGATTAGTTGCAGCCGGCTTGGCGGGAATACAGTTTGCAGTTGCCTACACATGTTTGGGCTTTGCGTCACTTCCGTCTTTTGTCTTTCCGGTTTCGCTTTCAAGCCATTCTAGTTTTTTGTTTTTTCAAGTCGCTAATACTGGCATCAGGCATTTAGTGCACGACGCTGGCCAGATTTTTTTTCGCAGTCAGGTAGCCGCAGTCTGAACTTGACAGAAAAGGGACACCATATTCTTGCCCCGTTCATGTGCTGACCAAAACCACACAGAATGTCCATCACTGTCTAATGAGAAAAGGAGGGGGGGGGGGTTGACGCAGACTGCAGTCTTAGCAAATCCAACAGCATACGGTAGCCGTCAGAAGTGCCAGCACAAACTGTCCGGCACTGGAAATGCAATTCATCGTCGATGGAAGCAAGTTACAACAGATCAGTAGTTGCACACGCAGAATAATCACATAAGGCACCACAAGTTCTCTGGCGAGCAGTCACTCTCCCGTTTCCTGAATCTGCTCTTTACAACACACACTTCGCTGGGCACAGTCGAAACCTATCCTATGTGAAACCTACAGCTTACAGTGTTGCGCCATACACTCAGTTCAGTAGCTGGGCACAGTCGAAACCTATCCTAGGTGAAACCTACAGCTTACAGTGTTGCGCCATACACTCAGTTCAGTAGCTGGGCACAGTCGAAACCTATCCTAGGTGAAACCTACAGCTTACAGTGTTGCGCCATACACTCGGTTCAGTAGCTGGGCACAGTCGAAACCTATCCTAGGTGAAACCTACAGCTTACAGTGTTGCGCCATACACTCAGTTCAGTAGCTGGGCGACGAAACTGTATCCTTTCAGTCTACATACGGAGAACAGTGTGATTAATGACTTGTCAGAAGCAAAAACTTGACACGGCTTAAACAGAAAACACTGCCTATCCACATTATTGACCAGAAGCCGGTGACGGATTCTCACGACATAACCTGGTACACAAGTGTGTCGACTTGCAGTTGACGACTTTAAAAAAAAAAAAAATTCATTTCGGTTTGGACTCGAGCCTAAGACCATGGGGTCAGCAGACAAACGTAAAGCTATTCTGTGTAGACCAGCTAAAGGAGCTCTCGGTCTGAGGAGACTGACCCTGCGAGGAGTTACTAGGGGATGTGGCTGACGCTCAACACTCAAGGGAAGGGCGAGACAGATATACAATCGGACATATACTGGTGCCATCGAAATTGGAACTCTTTATTTGTTACTGAAGATAGGGACAGAGCTCTTATGAGGGTATCCTGAATGCTATGATGTTGATTCCTAATTCAACTCTCAGTTTATCTTCACTGCTCACCGAACACAGTTCAGCTGATAAGTGTTCTCCCCCTTGTCTTCCCGTTCTCCCTGCCAGTGGTTTTCCAATGAGAATTCGGCAGACCTCTGAGAAGTCTGTGGCGCGACGTTTGTCTTTCACTGTTCTGCACAGCGTCCTTTCCGTTGGAATGCCAACCGGGCAAACTGGAATCTTTCTACCGCTCCATATAGAGAGCTTGTTTGTAGCACATGTTCATTATTACGTTTTGTAGCCAGTAAGAATTTCCATTCTTGAATGTTTCATACATATGGCTGCAAGTAGGTTGTGTCCAGTGCAAAGTCTAGATATGATTGTTTCTTTCATGTAGTACTAAAAAACTCAGTCTCCCCGTGTGGGTTCCAGTTCCCTCTTATAGGGAAAACAAGAATAGACCCACTGCCTACCCAAAGGCGTGTCGTAACAGTCCACTAATTGGGAGCTTCCTTCGAAGTCGAAAGTGCATCTCCCTGAGAGGCAAGGAGCCAAAGGTCTGCACACATATGCGTCCGATCTGCCAAACGGATGCACACGCAACACTCAGGATTCTGAAACGGGATTGCAGTCCAGAAGTGGTCGAACAACGAGAACTTTCCCCGGAGTTGACAGCCGGTGAACGCGAAGAAGAAGATAAACTAAGTCCAGGAGCGTTTAATGGATTTTCCTCCAGAATATTCGAGTGTGGGAGGAAACGAGCAGGCTGATAGATTAGCTGCCGCGCTTCTCTAGTTTGTGAGCTACTTTATGATAAAGCGGAGGCGATGAAAGCTCTGCGGGATACGATGGAGAGTGCAATAGAAAACCACAGAGAAACCATATATTGAAAGACTAATTCAACGGGGAAAAGAAGGGGGCTGATGGGTAGAGGTTCTGGAAGGCATTGACAAATTAAAGGAAAGCATGGGCGAATTTTCAGTCATGTTGCAACATGTACTGTTAGCATGTCGATTCTTCGTTGGCTACCAATTTCGACACAGT